GGGGAAGTGCAGGCAGGGGGCGCTCTCCCTCCCGCAGGCGGCATGTCTGCACCTGGGCTCCCACCTGAGGGCCTGGGGAAGGAGGACATGGTCATGAGCACTGCCCAGCGCGGCCACGGCCGCTGTCACTGCTGTCCCACGTGGTCTCTGCTGACCCATCTTACCGTGTTCACTCCCTGTGGCTCTCTCTGACTCACGGACCCCCCGGAGGCTGAGAGGGCAGCAGTGGCCGTGAGCCACCTTTCCCATCCAGAGGACAGCCCTGCCCACCGAGGTTGCACCCGCTGTGTCCTGAGCCCTGGCCTGAGGGCTGCGGGAGTTGGCCGGGCCGGCAGCTGAGCGGGGAGTGGGCATGTGCGGGTGGCGCTGCTTCCTCCTGGTGCCCCCGCAGGCCCCTCCAGGGGGCTGTGCTCCGGCTCAAAGGCCAGAGGTCACCGCTCTTCTCCGGGGGTGGACGCTGCGTGACCCTGTTCTCTGGTGTCAGCACCGTTTCCCCGTCGCCTCCAGTACTGACACCCTGAGCCTGGGAGCCGCCGTACCCACTGTCACTAAGTCCGCCTACCGCCCTGTGCCTGGCGCGTCTCCAGGTTGGCTCTTTGAAAAACATATATATTTACTGATTTCAGAGAGGAAGGGAGAGGGAGAGAGAGATTGAAACATCAATGATGAGAGAATCATGCATCGGCTGCCTCCTGCACGCCCCACTGGGGACCGAGCCCACAACCCAGTCCTGTGCCCTTGACTCGAATTGAACCTGGGACCCTTCAGTCCGCAGGCTGACGCTCTATCCACTGAGCCACACCGGCTAAGGCTCTTCCTAATTATTTTAAGCTTCGGAAAGATTGGGGCAGAAAGGGGCACATGATGCAGCAGCGAAAACATCCGGAATGAACTTGGAAAACCTCCAGCCCGCCTTCTCCCGCTCGCTGAGTGACGGTGGCATGGCCGTCTCCATCCCGAGACTGGCCCCTGGACGCTGAGTCATCCCACCCCCCTCCCGCTCAGCGTTTCAGCGATGCATGCGGAGGCTTCTCCTCTTCCTGGCCTTGCCCTTCCCCTCAGCAGGACGCAGGACGACACTTCAGTCTCGAACCCTGTGAGTCGCTGGGCGAGCCGACCCCTCAGTGCCCTCCAACCCCAAAGGCTGGAACGGAGGGAGGAGGAGGAGGGAGAGCTTGGCTGCTATTTCTCAGCGAGATTGTTTTCCATGTGAGGGAAGACGGATGGCTGTACAAACTCAGTATCGATTTGCTGTCACTCACCCGGGCGAACGGATGCCCGCACTGAGTCCCGGCCATTTGCTGTTACAACAGTTTGTGCCCGGGCCGGACGGGCCTGTGGTTCAGAACATTGTGTAATGGGAAGCCGCCGAATAACAAACTGCAGGAAAATGGAGCGGCGTAATGCATGGTCTCTCAGGCCCTGAGGGAGAAATAGCAAGGGGACTTTATGGGACAAATGGCCCTGGAATTCCCCGCCTTTGACTCTGAGCCATTCGCATCCTCACTCTTTGTTTCCAAGGGCGATCCATCTCCCCTGCTGTCAGAACCACCTGCAGGGAAGCTGAGTGACACTCATTTCAGGGTGCCCGAGGACAGGCCTGTTAATGAAACTCCGTTGATTGAACGCTGTCCTCCGTAATGTTGTCTTCCCTCCCCCCTGCCTTTCCTCTGTGATAGACGGAATTCCTGGGAAGGGCTGATTCCACGCCTTCCGCAGCTCCTTTCGGAGCATGAAACTGCAGAGTGGTGTCTTAGCTAATTTGCAAGAAGATGCAGTCGTAACTACTGGCTGTCTGAGTTGTCTGTGTGGCGCGGGGTGACCCGCTAGCCCAGCCTCTAAACTCGGCCGTTCTAAAGGATTTCTCCTCCCGCCGGCCACACTGCATTCATCCACCCGTCGGTACAGTGGCTAGATTCACAGTTGTGTTTTCTCAAGTTTGGAATATGAGATCTGCTGGTGTGTAATCGTCTCTGTCTTTCCTCCCAACGTGCTGAGGTTGAAGGGAGCGTGAATCTTAGGTCTCTGGCTCCTTGCCGACCCGGGAGCCTCTACGCTTAGCAACAGTCACACACCTGGGCCATCGCTCTCTGGCTCCCACCCGCCCTGGTCCTCTGGGCCTTGTTTGCAGGGGCCCCACCGTCTCCTGTCCCTGCCTCTATGTCCCACCCTGTCAGGGACCTTGGAGAGAGGTCAGTGGATTCCTGTCCTTCTTCTGCGGTTCCCCTCACAGCCCTACAGGCTCCACACCTCTGTTAACCTGAAAAAAAAAATTCCAACCTGCAAAGCATTTTTGTGAGTTTATTTGAGCCAAACCGAGGACAGTGGCCGGAAGCAGAGTCTCGGTGGACGGGGACAATGCCCCGGAGAACGGCGGTTTCACCTTGTTCTATGCATTACGGTCAGAGGAGGAGCGGTAGGTGGGTGACAGGAACTCCACTGGGGGAGGACTAGGGGGCGGGAGAAAGCAAGGGGCACCTCTGGGATTGGATGAAGAGGGAGGTGATGGACACAGGCTTCTTCCACTAGGTGGGCGCAGGACAGTTCACAGTCAGCACTTAACGCAATGGCGGTGAGGGGGTTTGTGGTCACTGGTTGTGCCGAGGGGTCGGGAAAAGGGAAGTTACAAGTTCCCCTGACTGTACCCCACAGGTGTGCGATCCTAGAGGCAGAGACAACAGGCTCCGTAAAGATGAAAGTTGATCTTTGTCAGGGAAGGTTCTGGCCTAGGACGTGACTGCCCGCTGTAAACGGCTTTTATTTTTTTAATTTAAATTCTTTATTGTTTAAAGTGTTACCTATGTCTCCCCCGCCCCATTGACCTCTCCCCAGCCTCTCCTACCCCCAGCACATGCCCTCACACCCCTACTGTCTATGTCCATGGGTCATGCTCATATGCATGCATACAAGTCCTTTGGTTGATCTCTTATCCCCCACTCACCCTCCCCTGCCTTCCCTCTAAGGTTTGATAATCTGTTCGATGCTTCTCTGTCTCTGGATCTATTTTTGGCATCAGTTTATATTGTCATTATATTCCACAAATGAGTGAGATCAGGTGATATTTATCTTTCTCCGACTTGCTTATTTCGCTCAGCATAATGCTCTCCAGGTCCATCCATGCTGTTGCAAATGGTAGGAATTCCTTCTTTTTTACAGCAGCATAGTATTCCACTGTGCAGATATACCACCGTTTTTAATCCACTCATCTGCTGTTTCCAAATCTTAGCTATTGTCAATTGTGCTGCTATGAACATAGGGGTGCATATATCTTTCCTGATGGGTGTTTCTGATTTCTTGGGATATATTCCTACAAGTGGGATCACTGGGTCAAATGGGAGTTCCATTTTTAGTTTTTTGAGGAAGCTCCATACTGTTTTCCACAGTGGCTGCACCAGTCTGCATTCCCACCAGCAGTGCAGGAGGGTTCCTTTTTCTCCACACCCTCTCCAGCACTTGTCGTTTGTTGATTTGTTGATGATAGCCACTCTGACAGGTGTGAGATGGTACCTCATTGTCGTTTTCATTTGCATTTCTCGGATGAT